TAAGAAGACTCAGTCTGTCTATGATTACAAACTTGCAGGCATGGTTTCTGCAATATTGTTTTGTTTATCAGACCTTACAGGTTGCAGGGAGAACTCACACTTCCTCAGTAAACAGCTAAACATGTTTTGTAATGATGACATTCCTAGCAGGTCCAGCAGTTGCTTAGTTACTGGTATCTTGTTTCGTTCCTACTTGGGCAATGCGATAGACATCGGGTCAGATTGTTCCTATATGTTATTTTACTATTAAATAAGACTGTAAATGAAACAGTACATGTATTTGTTACTCAGTAAATCCGCTAGTGCTTATAGTCAAAACGTTAAAATCATTTTTTATTTCAATTAGACCAGAAAGGCAATATTGAACGTCAACAAAAAAATAAAAGTGAAGCTATTTACTCATTCCAAGGTGTAGATTCTTATGGAAAGAACGAAGAACGAGCAAGAAACTCCATAGATTACTCTTTTTCAATCAGGTTCACAATACAATTTTTTAGTTACATAGTTTTGTTGGTTCAATTGTGTGAAAACAATTTAACATCAAAATCCAGTCAAAGAGATCGAAAAAGAAAATAACCTTAAGGACAATAAAATACTTATTTTCACAATAAAAAGGAAAGCATAATGTTCCAGGAATAAATCTTTTCTATTGTTTTATTTTTCTTAATAGAGATAGGTTATAATTAAATAGGCATATTTCGTGATTAAAATCACGTTCTAGGTCATGCCAATTTGAAATTTAACCTTAAACTATGTAGTGATCATGGAGTTATAATAGACACCGTCAAAGGTACATCCGTTTGAAGTACTAATTTGAGAGCACGTCACACCATTGTCATAAGCTCAAAACTATCTAGAGTATGTTTAATAGTACCTATAAACGTATGTCCTACGTATTTGTCTAGTTTGTTAGTGTTATTCTAGACACTTCCACAGCCTAATCAATCGATCTATCAACTCCACACAACCAATTTTGTCGACATCACTGTTGGGCAACTTCGGCCACTCAGCCAGAACATTGCATGCAAACTTATGTGCCACATAAACACGATAATATCGTCCTTATGCACTTTACATAAAGTGCATTGTGCATGCATTTATAAATTGGTAAGTATTTTTACGTAGGAAGCCCGTATTAGCGGTGTCCGTCATTTGCACATGTTTAGTAAGTACTAGGAAGTTTCTAGTAGCCTGTTGTTGATTTGTTTCATTAATTTATAGCTTTGTTGACGGGTACTTAAATGCCCCACGATTGTCAGTGTCAGGGACACGTTTATACATCATTATTTAAATAAGAACAACTATTTGCAGGTTGCTTGCATTTGTCTCCAAACATTGGGTAACTATCCAACTAAGTCTGAACTTCTCTTTACACTGCCCGCACGAAATTAAGATATAGAACTACGTGTCTATAAACCTCGTCACAGAAAGTTCCTCATGAGCTGCGCGCACGCCTCTTTCACACGCGCACGCGCAAGTTGCGCACGCGAGCAGTGCACACGCAATACCCGCCAATAGTGCACGTGCTCAATAGTGACCTTGAACCGTGCGCAAGAGCAAGTGGAGCATGAACACGTTCAATGTGACCTGGTAACCGAGTCTTCCATAATAACGACAGTATTTACTCATTTGTTAAATTGTAGAGATTCTATAAATAGAGAACTTGTTTTGTTTATCATTATATCATTGTGGTCATTGGCCAGAAGGCACAACAAAGACGATTCACGTAAGGAAAGGTTATCCATATGACTTGCAGAGGGTATTAAGGTCACCTAAATTACTCTAGTATTGGAATAAGGGATTAGGTGATGAGAATGCGAGATATTAATCTATAGAGTATAGTCCTCATACCTTCAGATCAGACAACCTCACCTGTTAATTGAATTGATTTTAAACCGACACATGCGTATTGCTGTCAGAACGGGTCCGCTCAAACTGTTGTAGTTCATTCCTCAATAGACCATTACAGAATGAACTTGCACGGTTTTCACACATAATCTTTTATACAAATTGTCTGGACTATAAAAGAGACGGACCTCCGAGTTTGTTTATTGTTGACATTTCTTCTCAGAGTAGTCAGGAAAAGCCGGCCTCATCGTTCGCTTGATAAAATTGACGTATAAAAGTGCCGCCTTGTAGCCTATTTGCAGAAATAAATTCACTTGTTTCACTTCTGGCAAGAGATAGCTTGACATATTTCAAAGCTGTGTCCTTCGACCGCACTAGGTAACAGAATGGATCTGGCATCATACCTAGGCACTCTTGAACAACTATCATTCTAGTTGCAAGTTGCAAACATTTCCATTTTATTTTATGACTATTTCTTAAACAGTTATCGTACGAGTATTTAGCAAACATCGAACCATTCGGATAAGGTCAAATCTTGCCAAATATAAATACATGTTAGCTTCTTATTACTCAACGTATACTCGCGGAGAACCTAACGGGTAACCGGGGCTCCGGCTCGACGTGCAGGAGAAGGAACGGGGTGGTTTTTAGTCAGTAAGAGTCTGACACCCCCTCCCGCCTCACCCAGGCGGGAGCAATCATTCGATGATTTTCCCCCTTAAAAAAAATGCAACATTTTTGTTAAATAAGTCGCCATTATCACCAACTGGATAAATACTGTTATATACAAAGGCACCCATCTTGAAAAGAGATTTGACATCATCATCTACCTAGAAACGTAGCGTACTTATGACGTCACAGAGGATTCTGCTGCCGGGACCTCTATGACTGATATCAGTTTATTCGATTGGATAATGCTATATCAGTGAAAATAGTCAGTTCATATAGAAATATGGTGGGTCTCCTGCTGACTGTATAAACCTGATCCCCATTGACAATAAGTTACAAGAACCATCACAATCAGTAGTTTACCTAATTGTTCTTACTCGGTTGCTCACGGCGCCGCAATGGCGCTAAGCTGCTTAATAATTACAAGATTGAACAACGAAATACTTGGCAGTTATTAATTGGGTATTATTTATGACAACTACTTTGTCATGTTTTTGTGAAAAGTTAATAGTGATGATATTTTCGTTGGGCAGTCATAGTTATTACAGTACAAGTACCCAACTAACATTAATTTATTAAATGAACAATATTTAGAAAAACAATATCTACTTTTTTTGTTTTCTGTAGGGATGATGCTTTCCAGCATTTCGCTTTATTATTTTTAGTATAATTTACATTCCAAATGACTACTTCTTCCCGACATGATCTCCAGCCACCGTAAACCGTCCGACCAGAACCAGACCCGAGTGTACAGCGCGTCGCATTCCGCGCGCGGCTCAAGGAACTATTAGACCAACACAGATGGGGCGTTATAGAGCTCATGTACAATGCGGAGCCGCGGAAGAGTTAACGAGTTGCGGGAGTAGGCACGGGGTGGTTTTTAGTAAGTAAGAATTTGACATTCCCTCTAGCCTCACCCGGGCGGGAGATGTCATTCGATGATTTTCCCCCCTTAAAAAGATGACCACTCTTCTGCGTCATGAATTGCTTAAACAACCTATTTAGTAATTAAAGCATGGGTAATAAAAACAAAGACAACAACAACGATTAGTTTAACAACAATAGAATGGGACGAAACAAAAAAAACAGAACCAATTTTCAGTCAAGCAAGCTACGCTTTTGTTAAAAATAATTTCATCTGTATCACAGTGTAATAAGGATGAATTTTAACTAATTTCGTTATCTGATTTCTAATGTCTTTATCTTTACAAAATGAAAACGCAACTGCTGGCACAAGGTCTTGGATTGTATCCCAAATATGGTAGAGAATTTTCGAATGCATTTTTTAAAATGTTAATTTATTTCGATCATTAAGCAAGAAATATGGGGGATATCTAGAAAGTTTTCCGAGAGTTTTTAGAGTTGGCAATGTTGTAGATTTTGTTATGCTCTTCCTGATTTTCATTTTGCAACCCCGTACGTGTGCCGCTCGCGCCGCCATCTTGGAAAAATGGCGGCCAAAAAGGGTCTTTTTAAAGATCGAACAAATTACAAACCGTTAATTTAAACTCTAGTCAAAATATCAACATAATTATATGAATTTGGCATAATTTTCTATTGTTTATACGTTGATATTTAAATTCACTCACGTAACTGTCGTTTAAAAACCATTAATTATATAAGGCATAAGTTAATCCTACATACGTTACTTTTTTGTTATTCTACGTAGATCGACGCATTATTATCATTCGAACATACACGGGTTCCGTAACTGCACATCTTTGTGACTAAAATGTTGATGATGTAACATTAATGGCAAGTTTGTCAACAATGGCACATCAAACGTCAGGCTGTCGTGAGAGGTTCGAATCATAAACGTTTATATTTTGAGGTTATGTAATGATAATGATGATTCTGCTTGCCTCTTTATAGTAATTGTTATTTTCTATTGTATAGAATACATATTAAGGTAAATTAAATCGTTATCGTTATTTGAAGTGGACATTATAAAGCTATCAGTTCAGTGAAGGACATGGTAGATATACTTAGGTATCTATGTGAATTATTGTATGGTTTTATGTTCAAGTTCAGACTTTGTTGTTTTTACTGTGAGTGCAGCACTAGTCTCCTTTACTTCTGTCGATTGTGAATTATATAACTTTCCTAAAACAGTTCTTTCGGTAAATATAACTACATACCCTTTTAGCATAGGCATGTTGTCAGCGTCTCTCTTCTAATTCTTGTGTTTTAATTTTTCAACTCTTGTTTTTCTTACTTCCACTGTCACACTTTTATTGTCTTTTTATATTTTATTTGTGCTGCATCGTGCCTGGTGCTGAACAAATGTTTTTTTCTTTCTTTCTTTTCTTTCTTACATAAAAATATGACGAACTACCGTTCATACACAAATCTAATACGTCTTTTGAAACTAAAGCCTGTTTCAGTTTGACCCACATGCACATTTACATGATAACATTGCCATTGAAAAACAACTGCAAACTCTTCAAACACAGAGTTTCTTTCGCCAAACAATATTTCCTTACCTTGTAAACAGTCCAGTATTGGTCAATCCATATTTGGACTCTCCAGCCTTGATGTACAGCTTGCAGGCATCGTGCTGGCGGCAGCAGGTGTCGGTGAAGAAGAACAGCCCCAGGTCACTGGAGCGAGCCGTGGCTGAGCGACCATCTCCACACCATACCGTTCCTGTGGCAAAAGACTGATTGTGAAAAGTCTTGGAAATAAGGTAAAGTAAAAATTATCAGAAAGATCATCCAGTGAACCCATGCTTGGCCACTTTAGATTTATAGGTCTCCCTAACGTAAGACAACCCATGGATGGGGACCAATAGGGCTGATGCCCATTCAGCCACGGAGCCACGGAGAACTTAACAAGTTACCGGGGCTCCGGCTCGAAGTGTAGAAGTAGGAACAGGGTGGTTTTTAGTCAGTAAGAGTGTGACACTTCCTCCCGCCTCATTCAGGCGGGAGAAGCCATTCGATGATTTTCCTCCTTAAAAAAAACATAAGACAGTATACCATTATCATAATGTTGGGCAGATGAGTTGAAGATCCTAGTGTAAATGGGTCAGATTTTAAATTGACGTGGTAAAGGGCTGCCTTGTAGCCTATTTGCAAAATCAAATTCACTTGTTTCACTTGTATTAAATGTGCAGCTCACTCAGCCCTTGCGATACTCGCCATAAAAGTCATTACGACTTTAAACTTCGATTAAAATTACTAACGGCTTACCTGGATAAATAGCCTGCACCCGATCTTTAAAGGAGTCTACCAAGGAGTTGGCGACGTTGGCCACGCTGGTGACTCCTGAGGCCAAGCTGGAAACGAATCCTCGGTCGTTGTCCAATGAACCAATATCTCGAGCTCCTGCCATCAACTGGTTGAGCGGCTTGCTGATGCTGGAGGAGATGGTCTTCAGGATCCCACGTCCAAATTGACCTGAGAAAGAAGATTAGGGTTTATTGTAGGTTAAGTTTCTTCTTAAATTTTCACTAAAGACTATTTAATGTTTCTTTCAAAGACACGGAGTATGAATAGTCTTCTTCTTTCTTCTCCAGAAGTCTAGATTTCCCTTCTTATAGGTGTACATGTTTATTTCTCTGAAATATGTTGATCTCAAGATCGGATCCTATTTTGTAATATGAATGTATTAATGTCATAATGAGCTTAGCTCAACCTTGCGATTGAAGTTGAACCTTGAACCACGTTCAGCATCCGCACTAGCAACATACACATAGAACAATAAGACAGACAGTATAACCAGCTAAACTACTTACTTCTGTGAGATAACTGACTTACTTTACCAAACAACATTCTTATACGTATTAAATGAGAGTTCCAACAATAATATACTTCAAGTACGGAAGTAATTCACTATCCCTCAGATAAATAAAAGCATAATCTTATATCATATTACAACTGTTGTGCAATATCCAATTAATATCGACCTTGATTATAATGTTATTCACTTTTATCAATATAATCGATTCTAAACTTCAAAGTCCTTGATCTTAGCCGATCTGTTGCAACTTCACTAATAATATCTTCGGAACTAAATGCCATGGAACGAGAATATATTGACAATAAATAATGCATTATTTCCCTTCGCTACATCAAAATATTTCGACACCTTTACTTATTATAACAAAACTGGTTTTTCAAGGGAATATTTTCGTCACTTTTCGACGCAAAATGGAATGTTGTAACTGTTACACGCTCATTTTAAGTATAAAAGCATTTTTTTGTTCCAATTGTATCGCAATGCACTATTTTCAAAAGCTGAATATCCTTGTAAAAACAATATTTATAAACTTTATAATTAACAATAGAGTAATCATAATACACACTCCCTTTTTGTAAGGATAGAAAATAATCAAATGATTTCTTCCACCTTTGGTGAGGCAAGGGGTAGTGTCAGACTTTACTGATCAAAAACCAACTCGTTCCTACTTCTACTTATACTTTATGTCTGTTCTTGCCCGCGCCTCCGACGTTATACGTACTGCGAGTGCAATGTACTCTATAAAATTCTAATTAAGTAAAAATAATTTCAAAATGTCTGCGGTCGTTCTACATTTGGATTCGATACTAAAATTATACACGGAAAAGTTATTATTACTTTACTCTGAGTGAGCATAGACCACAACCAATAAATATTTATTTATAATAGTTTTGAAAGTCTGTATGTAAACTTTGTCCAGTAAAACTTAGTGCTAGCATCAATAGAAACTTTATAGACGTAACAAAATTAATTGCTTGACGAATGAATAGAAATTGTATTAGCATATTGTTGTTAGAAATCTCTTACAGCTTCAAAGAGAACCAAAAATTCACATAAAGATCTTTGTCCTTTAGAATACAGGTCAACGTTTGGCCATTATCTCAACCAGTAGTTTGGTAATCATATGGTCAGATTGTCAGCCAACAATAGAATCTAGTTACGCTGCTGACAATGATACATGCCTGATTATAAGCAATCTATCCACTTAAGATCTTAAAACACATACAGACTATAAATATCCATTTTATGACAAAGATAAATCTACTAAAGCGCCAACTGAAAAGTGGGACGTACCCACAGATGATACAGATCTTAATACTGTTTGTGTACTCAAGTTTCAAGATCAAAGAGATATGAATGACGCAATGGATATCTAACTCGGTGATCAAATGGGTAAGGGAAAACGTACAGACATTGCAAGTATGCCGTAAACACGCCATGAACTTAATGATCACAATTTCATAAAACAAAATTGTACTTGACGACCAACGACATACCATGCACAAAACAGTGTCAACTACTTTAACGTAAGTCGCAATTGTTGGAACTAATCTTTCGGCAGAATTTAATGTGAATTTACTCTCTGCCTTGTATTGGAATTGAATTTACTTGCATTTAGTTACAAACATTACTAAGAAACTAGTTATACTCTAACTAGATAATTATTTTTATATGATTATCTTAAAACTAAATAACTCTTTTGATCCGTTGAAAACTACATTTTACGCTGATGCTCCCCTCACACAAACTTAAAACGACAGTTCAATTAATTGTAGTACTCACCAATACCACCATTTTCCTCTCGACTCCTAAGCCTCTCTGCCTCCAACATTTCACTCTGCCTCTGCATCCTCTTGAATAGGTCCACTATACCCTTGGGCACCACTCTCTCAGCCACACTCTCCACTACACTCTCCACCACACTACCAGCAAGCCCAAAAATCACTGACAATGCATCAGTCTTTGGCACAGTCGTTGGCACCACGTCCTTAGCATCATAATAATCTTCTGGTACTTCTTCCTGCACTTCTGTATCCAGTTCTGTAAAGATTGGAACGTCTGAATCTTCCTCATCAGAACCGAAGTCGACTCTGCTTAAATTTACTCGTACTGTTGTGTTAGACACGGTTACTGTTGAAGTTTCCAAATTTGCTTCAGTAGCATTCGTGGCAGGTGAGACAGTGCTCAATTCAGTGACGTCAGTAGTAGTATCGTATGTTGCTGTTGTTGTTTCCAAATCTGCTTGTTTGTTTGTATATCGCTCTGTGACGGGACTATCAGTAACTGTGGTTGTTTCATCGTCACTGAAATACGTTGATGTTTCTGTTTCCGGTGTCGAACTCGGTAACGTTACCGTTTGTTCGATGATTAGTTTGGGTGTCTTCCTCGTGGTAGACAGCGGTATCACCGTCAAGTCTGGCTCGATTGTACTCTCAAATATACTTACAAAAGCATTCTCTGTTGTACTTAACAGTTCTAATGGTATGACACTATAATCTGTGGTAGACGTTATGTCTAATTTGGTTTCAGTTCTATTTCTATTATTATCTACTTTCTTATCAAAGTCCTTAACTATTGTATATCTATGTGATTCTTTGTTGAAGTTTTCATTGGAGTTCCATGGGATCATCCCATATTTCTTATTGTACTTGAGTGAGAACTCCTCATCGAAGTCGATGATGCTGTTATCAAGGTTGTCCTCTCCATACTTGGTGGGTGTCTGCGTGGAGACGATGGACTTGGTGTGGGAGAATGCTGGACAGCTCAGCACGAGGAGAGTGCTGATGATGAATTGCCTCATTTTCTTCCTCCCGCGGTGATACATTCTTGTTTAGCCATCTGTAACAAAACATGATATTTTTAAAATACTGTCGTTAGAAGTAAAAAGAACTTATAAGTTCTACAATCTAGTGAAAAAATATGAATGTGAGATTGTCATAGAAATAAAAACACTATAAGAATTTTGTAAGGATCGCAATAAGCGACTGTGGCTTCAAACTTCAAAGATAGTATTGGTACAAACAGGACATATATGCTTCGCTAATTGTCACTCAACAATAACATATGGTTTAGTTACAATACATAACAGTCCATAAATATGTACTAATTGTCTCTGTACGCTTCCTCAAAAGATCAAAGGTTACTCGAACACCTTATTCTCATGTTTACCTGTGACCCCTTACGCGTGGGGTCATAGACCATTACTTACACTGAAACATGGTAGACATGACAGTTTTTCTCATTATTTATTATTTATAACTTAACATTTAATTTAAAATTACGTATTTTTCATTACTAAATGAAGGCATAGTACCTATGTATGTGAATCCTGCATTAATTAGACTTTTCGTGTTTTTTGTAATCCTAAGCAAAACGGAGGAAATCTCTTGCCATACATAGCACACATGTCTGCCTCGTTAGCCGAGTGGTCGCAAATGCAATTGCCGGGCAAGGGGTCCCGGGTTCGATTCTCATAAGTGAAAGTATTACTGCGTTTCTTAAAAATTCTCAGTAGTAGCACTGCGTCTGGAATGGTACCCGGATAATGGCAATAGGCTCACCCCCTATTACATGGGTCTCATAACATTAATAGTGAAAAGTGGGTGTTACATTGTACAGTGGCATTAAGTGCCGTAGATAATGTGCACCTCTGCCTACCTTTTTCTTATGGAATAGGAGGAAAACGAACAAACAGATCACCTGATGGTAAGCAATCAGCGCCCTACCTTCGGGGATAAAAGGCGTGATGTCATGTTTTTTTTTTTTTATGGAATAGGAGGCAAACGAGCAGACGGATCACCTGATGGTAAGCGATCAGCGCCGCCCATGGACACCTACAACACCAGAGGAGTCACAGGTGCGTTGCCGGCCCTTTAAAAAGGAGTACGCTCTTCTCTTGAAGGTTTGAAGGTCGTATCGGTTCGGAAATACCGCCGACGACAGATCATTCCACAGTTTTGCTGTGTGAGGCAGGCAGCTACGTGAGAACCGCACAGTTGTGGCCTGCCAACTATCTATATGATGGGGATGCATATGCTGTCGTGAGGGTCGATGGCGAAAAGATGCGGCAGGTATCAGGTCAAACAATTCCTCAGAGCACTCCCCGTGGTATAAGCGGCAGAAAATGCACAATGAAGCTACATCTCTACGCATTGCCAAAGTGTCGAGCCGGTTTGAAACATCCCGACATCCAACAATCCGAACGGCACGCCGCTGAATGCGGTCCAGAGGAAGAAGCTGGTACTGGGGTGCCCCCGCCCAAAGATGAGAACAGTATTCCATGTGGGGCCGCACCTGTGCCTTATATAGAAGCAGGCGGTGGGTCGGGGTGAAATACTGCCTCGATCTATTGAGCACACCAAGCTTCCTCGAGGCTAATTTGGCCTTATCCTCTAAATGACCGCAAAACTGGACGTCGCTCGAAATATTGACACCAAGTATTCCAATACCGGCTGAGGCAGTTAGGGGGGTGCTTTGAAACTGAGGAGAGACGACCAACGGCAGTTTCTTAGCGGTAAACACGCAGACTTGTGTCTTAGTGGGGTTAAATTGGACCAAATTAAGTCCACCCCAATCAGAGATTCTCCCTAAAGAGGTCTCGATTTCAGACACGAGTCTGTTTCGGCTCTCTATGACGTTTTCCCGAGAAATGTTAGCGCGGCCGTTGTTACGTTACACAGGGGACATATTTCTTAATTTTGTACTGAATTCGGTAGAAAATGACACCCACACACACGACAGTGACGTTAGAAGCTCATTGCAGTTTAGCAAACAAAAACATAAAAAAGATATAGGTACAGTGTATAGTAATACACATTTTGTATAATATGTATAAGTGTGTGTATTGTGTGACGTTATGTAACAGTCGCGGCTGATGCGCATGCGCCTTACGACAACATCTTGGTGTTAAACAGAAAATAGAGACAGAAATAATAAATGCTATACTCATTTTTCATCAGTGTGAATCACAAAGTCAGTATGGCTCTTAATTGCCTAACAATAAAGTCCAATCCAGTTTGATTTTAACATAACATCACGGCTTTTGATCCCCGAAGGGATAGGCAGAGGTGCACATTACGGCACTTAATGTAACACCCACTTTTCACGATTTATGTTATGAGTCCCATGTAATAGGGGGTGAGCCTATTGCCATATACCGAGCATATTTCCAGGCTCCGTGCTATTACGGAGATTTTTTTAAACCCAGTAATACTTTGTCCAACTCGGGAATCGAACCCGAGACCCTTGCCCGGCAGTTGCACTTGCGACCACTCGGCGACACAATTTGATTTCATTAGAAAAATATTTTGAAATGTAGATTATTCGTTGCTACAATTAGCACTATATACTTTTAATAATGTTTTTTATTTATATAGCCTTGTAATAATGATTATATTTATTTAATACGTATTAACCTTCTTTCATTCGAACTAAAAATAATATACTTACAATAATATAGGAAGAAATAAATATTTATCGTGAGGATATCATTATTGTTCCTGCATAATAAATATTACAGTTATAAACGGAATGTAGTGTGTAGGACAATTGTTGCTCCGAGCTTGACATTGACAATCCACAAATTAACGGTAGACATGAATAAGTGATCTTTAATACAAAATAATATATGTCGTGGTGGCAAGAAGTCAAGAACAAGACGCCCGCTTCTCATGCATGAGGGTGCGGGTTCAAAACCTACCAACGGCAAGTACCAATGTGACTTTTTTCAAGTTATATGCACTTTCTAAGATTATTTAGACACCACTGACAAACGGTGAAGAAAAACATCGTGAGGAAACCTGGACTTGTAATTTCTAATTTTAAGTTTGTAATCGCCAACCCGCATTGAGCAAGCGTGGTGATTAATGCTCAAACCTTCTCCGTGTGAGAAGAGGCTTTGCTCAGCAGTGGTCACTTATAGGCTGTTGATGAATACAAAATAGTAACGTCTATCAAAATTTTTGACAGATGTTTTAAATGTTTAAAATCGAACTTTGACTGAATTTTGGTGTTACATTGTTCTCACACAGTCCAAACAACAAAACTATGTAACTAGTGAATTGTATTGTGAACCTGATTGAAAAATAGTAACCTATGGAGTTTGTTACTCGTTCTTCTCCATAGGAATCTACACATTGGAATGAGCTTCACTTTAAAGTTTATTGTTTTTCTGGTCTTTTTTCATCTCGACTGGTGGTAAACGATGATGCGGTCTACGATGGAGCACGTCATCTCATAAGGAACCTATTCACTCGGGCCTTGAACCCAGGTTTTTTTTTTTAAGGGGGGAAATTATCGAATGACTGCTCCCGCCTGGGTGAGGCGGGAGCAGTCCCCCCCGTTCCCGTAGGTTATACCCTTCAGGAAATACAGACTATGACAAAGAGTTCCAATTCTTAGCAATACGCATAAGAAAGCTTGATGGGAAGCGCTTCGGAGTCATTGACTGGCTTTGACTTTGACTTTGATCTTAATCCACACGTTCCGGGTTAAGATCAATTTTAGCAGTAAGTGAAAACCTAGTCAAGCCCCTACACAAACTTTTCTATTCAATAGATAGACTTGTGTGGGAGTGCCATGCTTCGGCACTGCTGGGCCGGCTCGACCGGAGTGATACCACGGCCTCACAGAAAACTGACGTGAAGCAACGCTTGCGTTGTAATTCGTCGTGTGAGTGAGGTTACCGGAGGCCTAATTACCCTCCCCTTCCCCAATCTCCCCAATTCCTGAATCCCCGACGATCCTCAAACTCCCAATCCCCAAAAGGCCGGTAACGCACCAGTAACGCCTCTGGTGTTCCAGGTGTCCATGGGCGACGCCGATTGCTTACCATCAGGTGATCCGTCTGCTCGTTTACCAGCTTATACCATAAAAAAGACTTTGTTTATTTTCAGCGAATAAAGTTTTTAGTTATAATTCATCTACGGGACAGTTGCTATGATAACTAAAGTAACATTAGCAAATTAGTTCAAAATTTTTGCAACTATGAGCAGTAGCTGCAGGAGTCTACTGCAATATAATATACATAATACAATGTCACTATTATACGCTATATGATAATGAACTTTATTGTAATACATATAACGGTGTCAGTTGGTCAAACTAGTGCTAATGTGAAGAATATTTTCAGTGATTGTGAATTAAAGATTGCTAATTTTGTGCATTCGATTTAATATTTTTGTAATATTTACGTAAAAATGTATCGTAAGTAGAAAAGTTATAAGTGCGGCTATCGAGTGTTATTCAGTTTCAATATTTATTTTCATTGTGTACACAGTAAATATTTATAAAAAGGTAAGTTAGGCATAGGTTTAGAGCAGTGGAGGACTGAACGGGTTACCGGGGCTCCGGCTCGAAGTGCATGAGTAGGAACGGGGTGGTTTTTAGTCAGTAAGAGTCTGACACTCCCTCCCTCCTCGCCCAGGCAGGAGCAGTAATTCGATGATTTTAGCCCCTTAAAAATGGCATAGGTTTAGAAGGCTTATTTGCAGACTTGAGTATAGATTCACTTCCTATTTTTTTTTAGTTTTAAGATAAGTTTACGTAATACGACTGCACGGCTGGTGCGGTGGCTGGGCAAATGTCTGCCGTGCAACGGATAGCGGGTTAAATTCCCGCACGGAGCAATTTTTTGTGTGATCCACAAATTGTTATTCCGGGTCTGGGTGTCATGTGTATGTGAAATTGTATGTTTGTAAACGCACCGACGACACAAGAGAAGATCCTAATGCGGGGCAACGTCTTTAATATAAAAAATAAGTAGTAGGCATAACATAGGCTAGGTACATTTTTTCTTTGACAACGAGACGAAACTTTGAGTAGGTACCAGCTATTAGAAT